CTACTTTAAAGCATTGCAAAGCATTACCCGCTTAATTCAAACTATTTAGTTTGACGTCTCTTATATAACCTTGTTTATATTCGTGCACGTGCTTATGAAATTTGAAAACAATGCCAGTGAATAATGAGGACGCACACTTGTAAACTCAAAATCTAAGGGAACAGTTGGTTATATTTGAAGCCCTATTTAAAAGCCTTCGCTGTTTTCAATGTTCTTAAAACTTACAGGGTATATTTATTGACAATTGATCTCGGGATTGTGTAGTTTATAAAAAATTTATCGAGCGGTTTTCTGAATAATGCGAAATTTGTAGGCATGTACCAAATTGCATGCAAAAACTGCAACAAAAGCAGCTGAATGCAGGTTAATAAAATTCTTCTTACTCGCGATCGTCCGGAGCAATTCTCTTCTTTTTTTTTGTACGCAGTTTTCAATGGAATCAAACTATTATGAGATGACGCCGCTTTTCCAAAGCTTATCATTTTCTTAAAATATTAGCTAATTGTGTAGATAGTATGCTATTTCACTTTTTTATGATTCTGAAAACTTCGTTTCAAAATATTTCCAAAACGCTCCCATAGAATTTGTTGAAACTTTGCAATAATTGAGGCAATTATGGCAGGTACATACTCCCTTAAGCGATTTCTTCAAAAAACTCCTGGTACAGAGAAACACAAAGATAAATAAAAAAAACCTAATGGCGTCATTACGTTGCCATGGCCAGATTATAAGAAATTTTCATCTTTATATAATACAGTTGTGGTAATCTTTTTCCCATATCTTTACTCATGCCGACGTAGTTAATGCTCAAACTTGGGAGGTATTCCCCCTAAAAAATCCAATCGAGCCACCTTAAGTGCAACGCTTGGACACTACTATACCGAATATTACCTTTGAGTCACTGACCTTTTGGCTGATAAAATTGGTGAAAGAACGAAGTTTGATTTTGTGCAATAGTAAATTTACTTCGTGTGTTATTTTGAAAGAACATTAAATATTCACCCACCATTTGTTGTGTCGGTTGCTGTGCTGATAATTAATATTCATAAGTATAAGTCACGTGCAGTGACTTTATATCTGATAAAACACCGCATACTAATAGGGGGAGATTTTATCGATATAAATTCACTGCAAATGATGTATGATCGACTGTTTGATTGGTCAATGGGCTTATGAATCATTAATTAGTTTTTGAAGGATCTGTCACGGAGTTTTTGTGTTACATTTCGTCTCACGTGACATTTTTGGTCTTACATGTACGCGATCACGTTTGGAGCACGTGATCATGTGACATTGTGAACTGAGCAGTTTTTCGATTGAGAATAGATTTTTGATGACAGTGTACCTTTGAGAGAATTGTCATTTTTGCCGAAGACTACTGTTCGGTTTTGAAGTCCGAATGTTTTGGCAAGTGTATCCGTTTTAAAGCCCGTTACTGTTGGAGTCCTATTGGTTTCGAATAAAATCTATCACAGGTTCACGCAACGCCCTCTGGGTTAGTGGGTTAATAAGTGATAGTGTTCGTTTTTCGACAAAGAAAACTACCCATTTTATGAACTAGGGCGTGCCTTGAGGCAGCCCAGTTAATAAAAGCTAGAGGGGATTGGGTCAATTGCCGGATGAGTTTTTTTACTTTTACGTACAGCTGTGTATTATCCCCTGAAAAGAGATGCGTATTCCAATTGAGTTTTCATAACCTGAGATCAGGCCTAATTTTAGCGGTTCTCATACATCCTCTCTAACGGCCACAGGAATGTTATTTACAAAGCGAAAAGAAAATTGAGCCTGATCTCAGGTTCAGTAGGTTTTCATAACGGACCGATGTAGTCTGAGACCAGAAAGACATAATTGGACTCGGTGGAACTATTAACAAAGGGGAAATGTCGCATTAAGCTGTTTATTGATTAACGTCTTGCTAGTAGAGGACACGGACCGAAGAAACTTATAAAATCATAAGAAATAGTTAAACAAACATCTGTTCGTAAATTCTTCATATTTGCAGCATTGCGAGTTTTCACTGATGCTGAGCTTTTTAAGTCCATGAATTTGGGGCCTGCGGCCTAGATTACAGGTTCTTTCCAGTAAAACTGATGGCAAGGTGTTTTAAAAAAATAAATGAAAAAGGTAAAATAAATAACAGTTGTTTGTCTTGTTCGGCAGACGCGTTGAACTCGTATTAGAATTGATGTGACATGGAAGACAGAGGCTTGCCTCAGTACCTCACAACCTTGTACCCATACGCGGGCTCGTTACCCGTAGATAGAAAATACATATAAAAATTTGATAACTAACCTGTTTGGTTACAACAGTTGAAAAAGTTTTCGCTCTATGGAAAACGGAACGCATATCAAACATTAAATATCTTAGGTGATCTAGGGAGCTACCTCCATGAAGTCGATCTTTTGGCAATCATTAAAGGATGAAGTAATGAAGTTTCTGATTGGTCAACAAGGGAAACATTAACAGCTTATAGAGTGCCAGAGGCTATACAATGCAGTACCAGGCAGTACCGAAACTTCTTTGGAAAAGCGAGGAAGTGTGAAATCGAAACGCATGCAAAATGGCTGACAACCGGACAAAAATATTGTTAACCATCAATAAAATTGCTCGTGCAATAATTTCAGTAACTTTTGAAACATCACTTGTGCCATAAATAAAAAATGTACTGGAATTCATGCGATTTTCTATACTTACTACATTTATGGTTTATAATTTATTACATTTATGGTTCGGGTTTTCATTACATTTATGATAGATATTACATTTATGGTTAACTTTTGTTACATTTATGGTTAGTATTACTGTTATTTAGCAATTGTTGAATATAATGAGGCTGAGTAGGGTGTGAAGAATAGTGCAGACGGGCCGAGGTGGATAACATCATCCTCCACGATCTGCATAATTCTTTTCATCTTACGAAAGCCGAATTCAATAATTGTTTTATTAGTCATTCAAAATATTTCTAATTTGTTATAAACAAGCTTACCTTCGCGAAGACTTTCTTCAAAACTTTGGCCTATCTCTCGGCATGGTTTCACGATATAACATATGTTTTCCCTTGAAGATACTCCTCAAAAGTAAACAACATCCGATCCCTCCAGGGATACGTTTTACGTATTCTTGCATTTCTTAACATAACTCAGGAATAAAGAGCTAGGCTGCCGCGTCTGGAAAGGAGTTTGATCGATTTTATATTATACACTTAATGTCAGATCCCGAAGTTCCAGTTCGTCCCGGGAAACATCAGGGCTCGAGGGAAAACAAAACTAACAGGTTTCCCGAGGGACCTGACATTAAGCGTTTTGTTATATTTCTAGACTTTCACTTCAAAAAGAACAAAAGAATAACCGGAGCAAATCAAAACAATCGACTCGGTTCTTATAAGAACACAAATTTAATTCTCAAAACCACTGAATGAATGATTTACAAAGTACTTTCTTTATATTATCTGCATCTCAGTTTTTCCTCCACTAGCTGCTGTTTCTCTTCTGGGATGACTTTGAAAATCGTTCCTTTTTAGCTTGAGGCTTCATGTTTGTGTTGTTGACAGGGGCACCCAACGTCAATTTTCGGAAAATATCTGTTCGGAAGACGATTTGAGATCTAAAATTTTCGGAACATTTGTTGGTCTTTGTTGTAAAATTTCTTGCTTGCTTGCCTCTCCTAGAATTTTCGAACATCTACAAAATGGTATATTTACCCCTTTTTTAACGGATTTTGACCCTAAAAAAGGCCACCTAGAATTTTCGGGAGCCTTTTCCTGGCTGAAATTTTCGAGAAGGTAAGTTTTTATCCCTATGATTTTCGGATCACTAGATTTTCAGCTAGGAAATCCGAACAGATAAAAAGTTTTTAGGGGATAGAAATATGCCTATATCTACCGTTTAAATACTAAAATACGTTCAACAATGCTATGTTAAGTAGTTTTGAACTATATTCTCGTTGGGTGTCCCTGTGTTGACTGTTCACTGTTCATTCAAGAAAAAGAAAACTGGCAGCGTTTTTCCCTCCTTCTGTCACGCCACTTTCCACCATGTTTTGATCACGTGCTGTAATGAATCCCGAGCCGGGTACGATCCGGCTCAAATATATCACGATCGGGATACATTTGATTTTATTCAAGGCCATGTGACCAAGAATCAACCAATGGCAGTCCCTTTTTAGTTGAGTGAAAGTCTAGGAATATAAATTGATGGTGTGTTGCATGCGTCTTCCAAATATGGTGAGTGCCAGTGGGTTATTTAACAATTATTCCTCGAGCCCGAATGGGCTCTGAGTTAATAGCTATTGACTCGGAGGCCATGAGGGCGAGAGGAATAATTTTTTTAGTAAAATCCAACGAGTTGGTAAAAAATATCGAGACAAAACAACTTAAAGCAAGACTTTAATCCTTTTTTGCCGCCAAAAATCCGGTGCTTTTCGCTACTGGTGGGCTATAACATATAGTCTAGTAGTAGCTCAACCAATCAGAACGCAGTATTAATAATAGACCACTAGTTGGATTTTACTAAGAGAAATGAGCCGGGGGATTGGAGCCAATATTTTGAATGAGTAATAAATAGAGGATATTACATGGCCGCGCGGAGGTACGAAATTTATCCTCGAGTGTTGAAAAAATATTTCACGAGTGAGCGCAGCGAACGAGTGAAAAATTCTTCAACACAAGAAAAGAAATTTCGTATCTCCAAGCGGCCATGTAATGTTCTATTTATTTTATAAACACCAATGAAATACCAAACCATTTCGCCTTAATATTTTTTAAGTCCTAGAGAAAACTATTTATTTAGATATTCTGCATTTGCAGATTCAAGAAGTATAGAATAGGCCAAAGAAATGATAGTCCAACACTTATAATCCTGACCAACCTCAGTAAATCTTACATGAAAGCTTGATTATCTTATCTAAGAAGATTAACTGTTCGGTTAAAAAGACGTTAACAATCTTGTTTCCACTTTCTTACTCTTAAAATATTTTTTTCTCAAGGTTAAGAAAAAAGCGTCATGGACAACATCTTGGAGATTCGACAGACCATTCATATTGGTGTAGTCGTTGCAACTTTCCTTTTCAACACTGGACGTATTATAAAAGCAGTAGACATCTTTAACGAATGTTTGGTGCTCCTTAACAGTTACACCCTAGAGACAATCAAAGAATTTACCACACCACTTCTTATCTATGTATGCTGTAAACTTCTTGATGGCTATACTCTTGTGTACGATCACACCCGTGCTATAGAATGTGGTAAAAAGCTTTTAGTGACACTACACAATAGTGGCAAAAAAGAAGTAGAAGGAATGACATTACTTAAACTAGCAAACATCTACTATCATAGAAGCAAATACGAGGAAGCAAAACAGTTTTACGAGAAGGCACTCAGCACCATGATTAAGGCTGGAAATAATCTCGGAGTTGGAATATGTTACAGAAAGCTAGGAACTGTGTTTTTCTCTGTTGGTCAATATACCAAGGCTGAAGAATACCATAAAAAAGTACTAGTGATCAGCAAAGAAATCGGTGACAAACAAGGAGAAGCAGCAGATTACGGAAATCTAGGAGCTGTGTTTCAGTCTGTTGGTCAATATACCAAGGCAGAAGAATACCTTCAAAAAGCACTAGTGATCAGGAAAAAAATCGGTGACAAACAAGGAGAAGCAGCAGATTACGGAAATCTAGGAACTGTGTTTCACTCTGTTGGTAAATATACCAAGGCTGAAGAATACCTTCAAAAAGCACTAGTGATCAGGAAAGAAATCGGTGACAAACAAGGAGAAGCATCTGCTTACGGAAATCTAGGAGCTGTGTTTCTTTCTGTCGGTCAATATACCAAAGCTGAAGAATACCTTCAAAAAGCACTAGTGATCAGGGAAAAAATCGGTGACAAACAAGGAGAAGCATCTGCTTACGGACATATAGGAGCTGTGTTTAGTTCTGTTGGTCAATATACCAAGGCTGAAGAATACCTTCAAAAAGCACTAATAATCAGCAAAGAAATCGGTGACAAACAAGGAGAATCATCTGCTTACGGAAATCTAGGAACTGTGTTTAAATCTGTTGGTCAATATACCAAGGCTGAAGAATACCTTCAAAAAGCACTAGTGATCACGAAAGAAATCGGTGACAAACGAGGAGAAGCAGCAGATTACGGAAATCTAGGAGCTGTGTTTCAATCTGTTGGTCATTATACCAAGGCTGAAGAATACCTTCAAAAAGCGCTAGTGATCAAGAAAGAAATCGGTGACAAACAAGGAGAAGCATCTGTTTACGGAAGTCTAGGAAATGTGTTTCAATCTGTTGGTCAATATACCAAGGCTGAAGAATACCTTCAAAAAGCACTAGTGATCAAGAAAGAAATCGGTGACAAACATGGAGAAGCATCTGCTTACGGAAATCTAGGAACTGTGTTTCAATTTGTTGGTCAATATACCAAGGCTGAAGAATACCTTCAAAAAGCACTAGTGATCAGGAAAGAAATCGGTGACAAACAAGGAGAATCATCTGCTTACGGAAATCTAGGAGCTGTGTTTCAATCTGTTGGTCGATATACCAAGGCTGAAGAATACCTTCAAAAAGCACTAGTGATCAGGAAAGAAATCGGTGACAAAGAAGGAGAAGCAGCAGATTACGGAAATCTAGCAACTGTGTTTCATTCTGTTGGTCAATATACCGAGGCTAAAGAATACCTTAAAAAAGCACTAGTGATCACGAAAGAAATCGGTTACAAACATGGAGAAGCATCTGCTTACGGAAATCTAGGAACTATGTTAAAATCTGTTGGTCAATATACCGAGGCTGAAGAATACCTTCAAAAAGCACTAGTGATCAGGAAAGAAATCGGTGACAAACAAGGAGAAGCAGCAGATTACGGAAATCTAGGAACTGTGTTTCAGTCTGTTGGTCAATATAGCAAGGCTGAAGAATACCTTCAAAAAGCACTAGTGATCAGGAAAGAAATCGGTGACAAAGAAGGAGAAGCGCTTGCTTACGGACATCTAGGAACTGTGTTTAAATCTGTTGGTAAATATACCAAGGCTGAAGAATACCTTCAAAAAGCACTAGTGATCAGGAAAGAAATCGGTGACATACAAGGAGAAGCAGCAGATTACGGAAATTTAGGAGCTGTGTTTCAGTCTGTTGGTCAATATACCAAGGCTGAAGAATACCTTCAAAAAGCACTAGTAATCAGCAAAGAAATCGGTGACAAAAAAGGAGAAGAAGCAAATTACGGAAATCTAGGAAATGTGTTTCAATCTGTTGGTCAATACACCAAGGCTGAAGAGTACCTTCAAAAAGCACTAGTGATTAGGAAAGAAGTTGGTGACAAACAAGGAGAAGCATCTGTTTACGGAAATCTAGGAAGTGTGTTTCAATCTGTTGGTCAATATACCAAGGCTGAAGAATACCTTCAAAAAGCACTAGTGATCATGAAAGAAATCGGTGACAAAGAAGGAGAAGCAACTGTTTACGGAAAGGTAGGAGCTGTGCTTCTTTCTGTTGGTCATTATACCAAGGCTGAAGAATACCTTCAAGAAGCACTAGTGATCAAGAAAGAAATCGGTGACAAACAAGGAGAAGCATGTGCTTACGGAAGTCTAGGAACTGTGTTTCAATCTGTTGGTCAATATACCAAGGCCGAAGAATACCTTCAAAAAGCACTAGTGATCAGGAAAGAAATCGGTGACAAAGCTGGCGTTGGAGCTTCATACTTAAATCTGGGAAAACTTTGTCGAGAACTTCAACTTACTGCAAAGAGTCAAGAATTTGCTAATAAAGCACTTGAGATAAGTTACGAAATAGGGGACATTGAACTGCAGTTTAACAGCCACCTTACCATTGCTCTGAACGAGTTCGTGGCAGAAGGAAGCATAACTGAACTTCGGCGAAATCTGCATGAAAGCATTCAGAAGTGTGAAGAAATGCATGATTTTTTAAGAGTGAAAGATGAATTCAAAATTTCTTTTTTTGATGAGCATGTGTCCCCTTACATTCTTCTTTGTAGGTTGTTAATTGCTACAGGCAGTTATTATGAAGCTCTTTACGTTGCCGAGCTTGGACGATCCAGAGCACTGACAGACGTACTTTCAGATAATTACTCTGTGGAAAAAGGGGTATCAGTCAACCCACAGTCATGGATTGGTATTGAGAACATTATGAACAAAAATGCACTTAGTTCTTGTCTTTATGTTTCCTGCTTCGGTGATAATATGTACTTTTGGATCCTCAAGCCAAACAAAATGATAGTTTTTCGACAAACGAGACTCAAAGAAAGGGCAGATAAAGTGTTTGGAAATCAGACAATTGGTGGCTCTCTTGATTTACGTCAAGACCAATGCGAAGATCGATCATTATTTTCACGTGTAACTTCCCCGCTATCATGGAAACAATCTCAGAGTGACAGCTTCGAATCTTTGCGTCTTATAGAAGAAGAGGAAGACGAAAATCCTGACTCTAAACCTTTAACCCTTGCTGACGGTTACAACATGATAGTCGCTCCTGTAGCTGACTTACTCCAAGAATCAGAAGTCATTATTATACCGGATAACTTGTTATATCCTATTCCTTTTGCTGCTTTAAAAGATGGTAATGGAAAGTATTTATCGGATACTTTCAGGATTCGCATTGTCCCTTCCTTGACGACTCTTAAGTTGATTCAGCTCAGTCCAGCAGACTACCATAGTAAAACCGGTGCACTGATCGTAGGAGAGCCAGACGTTAGTGATGTATACTACCGAGGAAAGATTCTACAGTTAAACCCACTGCCTTGGGCGAGAAAGGAAGCAGAGATGATTGGGCGACTGCTCGGTGTTCAACCGTTACTTGGAAAGGATGCAACTAAGCAGGCAGTCCTGGAAAGCATGCATTCAGTAAGTCTCATTCACTTCGCTGCTCATGGTTATGCCGAACGTGGAGAAATAGCTCTTTCCCCTATAAGCTCCTGCGGAACTCCACACGAAGAAGACTACTTATTAACGATGGCTGAGATTTCACAAGTTCGACTAACAGCCAAGCTGGTTGTCCTTAGCTGCTGTCATAGTGCAAATGGTCAGATTAGAGCTGAGGGAGTTGTTGGAATCGCTCGAGCATTTCTAGCATCGGGTGCACGCGCCGTGCTGGCGGCGCTGTGGGCTGTAGATGACAAAGCTACCATGTGGTTTATGAATCATTTTTACGAGCACCTTGTTCGTGGTGAAAGTGCCAGTGAATCTCTTCATCAGGCCATGAGGTCGATGAGAGAGACTCGCTTTTCTGACATCATGCAGTGGGCACCCTTTATGCTGATTGGAGACAATGTGACATTCAAAGGTTTGTATTTGATATCATTTTTAGGTTTTTTGGTTGTCTTAGTCAAAATTTGTGAAATTGGTGTTCGTGACACTATATTATTAAGGGAGTTATACTGAGTTTTCTTAGTTTTTTTTTGTTTATTGTCATTTCAAACCATGTTCATGGAAGTGAGGCAACTGGAGAGAAGGCCGAATTTAATTATTTTCCGATTTTTTTTTTCCGATATCCAGTTTTCCAGGTACAAGCCCCAGGGGGGCTTTTATTTGGAGGGGTGATTTAACGGAAGGTTTTTTGCGTTACCGGTTGGCGGGCTTATTTTTGGAGGGGCTTATACATGGAGGGGCTTATTTTCGAAATATTAAACCATCACAGAAAAGAGAAGTAAGTGTTAAAGACACCGAGGGTGTACCTGATGAAAGAAAAAATGTAGCCTGTTGCAGGCTCCGCGACTGAGTCGCTCCGCACGCCTTTCACCGCTCTATTCCTACTACCTGAGAGCCTGGAACAGGCTAAAAAAACGCTGCTAGTATTTTTAGTCTTAAAAGATTCATCCTCAGTGAACCAGAGACAGCGCAGAGGGTATACGTAGTAATTACCAGTGGGCAAGAGTTTAAAAGCAGACGGAAAGATTCCCTGGGTACTTAATCTAGCCCAAGCAAGTACAGGGGCATTTGATTTTGCAACTTCTATTTTATACAGGTATTTTTCTGGCAAATGA